GCCTCACCTGGGCAGCCTCACCTGGGCAGCCTCACCTGGGCAGCCTCTTGGGCTCCAGCTAGTTGTCACCGTGCAGGGCGTACGCCCAGGTGGCCTCCATCTCCGTCCCCACACAGAGGGGCAGCTGGAAACCAGAGCTTGATAGAAAATGTTCCTCATTGTAAACAGCTGGGTAACACTTCTTTTTCCTAAACACCGATTAGGCCCAACAAGCCATGTCTGTTGTGAGCGCTCTCGTGAACTGTTCTATAGCCAGTGCTCTCTCCTCTGTGGGAACAACAGACTCCAGTCAGCCAGGAGTTTTGAGATTTTGTATCTCTTTGTCAGCCCTCCGTTACTTTCTAGAACAATCAGAATATCACTTCCAGAAAACAAGCGGTCCCTTGCCTTTTTAAACGTTCAGAGCACCCAGATGAAATCGTGATGGCGGTCACACGGTGTAGTGGCCCCATGAGGAGTGTCTGCTCTGCTCTGACTGAGGACTCTGTCTCGCAGGAACTGGCCGGCTACACTGGAGGAGACGTGAGCTTCCTAAAGGAAGACCTCGAGCTCCAGCTGAACAAACAGCTCGTGTTGGATTCGGTGAGTATCGAACCACAACGGAGGTGCCTGCGTTTTCACCCCTCATTTTTGGAATCGTGTTAGAAATTCCTGGTTCCTGAATCTCTAAAGCACCGAAGTGGAAGCCCAGTGTTAGTGCATTACCCTGGAGTACTCGGTCTTTTAAATGTAGCCCAGATTGAAGGAGCAAGAAGCATTCCCTTTTTTAAACATTCTCTGTTAGTTATTTTACATGGGGCCAGGAAAGAGCGCCTTCTCCATTTACCACCTCAGTCCTTCCAGGAACTGTGGTTCAAGGACACGTTCACATCTGTCTCCTCTCCCTCATCATATCACTTCTGGGGAAACTCTGAGTCTCTGCCTTGTTTTGCCACGTCTGCCGGCTCTGAGTGCTTCCAGGATTCTTTTTTCTTTAATCTTTCAACCTGTTTGGTTTAGTTTCTCTCAGTTGACTCAGGAAATGAGGAGTAAGTGAGTGAATTCTGACCTGGTCAGTGGAGCCCAGGCTGAGGGGGCACCTGGCTTATTCCCCCGAGTCTTCCCAGCGCATGGAGTGACTGTGGACAGCTAGCTGTCTGCCCCACAGCTGCTACCAGTGTCCTTGTTAACCTTACGCTTGAGGGTGTAAAGGGTGGTAATGACTGCAGTAGACCAGTCGTCATTTCTAGACAGCTTATTTTAAAATGATTCACCACTACTCCCGCTCAGTCCTCAGTTCGCTGCAGGTTGAGTTTGGTTCCTGTCTCCACTCTGCTGGAGGCCTGGGGCCTCTCTGGGGCTGAAGTCAGCAGGCGCCTTCCAGGCTCCTTGCCCCTGGCTCCTCTCCCGGCACTCACTGTTGCTGTCTCCATGCTCACCTTCGCATCTGCTCTTCTCTTGCTTTCTCTGGCTGCATGGTCCCCGCCTCTCCTCCTGCCTCTTCACTTTCTCCTTCCAGGGTCCTGTCATGGCTCACCTCCTTCTTGGCCTCCTGAGCATGGCTTTCCCCTGGGTACTCCCAGAGCTCGTGTCACTCCACACGCTCTTCCGGGGGATCTCGCCCTCCCTGTGGCTGCGGCTGCCACCTGTGCGCTGCAGCTCCTGGGCAGCCCGGCTTGCCCACTCCTGGGCCCCAGGTTCATGTGCTGTCAGCCCTTCCAGCTCTGCCCCTCACGGACTCCTCATGTTCAGCGTGTTATTATCTGCCCTCCCGCAATCTGTCCTCCACCCAGGTTCCGGATTTCACTGCCTTGCACAGCCATTTGCCAGTGGCCTGCGAACGTCTTCCCGACTACTCATGTCCTCACTCCCGAAGCCAGTGAGCACCGGTGCCTATCTCTTCTCCCCTCCGTGGTCCTCAGACTCCTGCTCCTCTCTCTCACCGGCAGCGTTGACACAGCTTTCTGATTAGCCTTTGTTCCTCCTCTCCCCACTCTGCCTCTACCCCGTCTCTCTTCTGTCTCCTGAAATGCAAATCTTACCGTAAACAGTCATGCCCCTTCATGTGGCACACACGGCCCTATGCCATTTCATCATTGCCCCCTTCTCCCTGTGTTCTGGCTCTGCTAAACGATTTCTCGTTTCCCAAAAGGACTGGGCTTTTCTTTTCCAGGCATTTATGTGTATGCCATCCTCATCTGTCTGTAGCTCACTTTTCCAACTTCTGCCCCCTGCAATAAAGACATCGGCACAGGCATGTCTCCTGTGAGCCTTCCCTGACCTCCCAAATCGAGCTGGGGGCTCCTCCACTGTGTTTATATCTCCTGTACTTCTTTCTAAGGTATTGCTCACCTATCCACCCACCCATCCACCCATCCATTTATCCATTCACCCACTCATCCATTCATCATCCATCCATCACTCATCAGTCATCCATCCATGCATCCATCTACCCACCTCTCCACCTACTCGTCATCCATCCATCCATCCACCTACCCACCTCTCCACCTACTCGTCATCCATCCATGCATCCACCTACCCACCTCTCCGCCTACTTGTCATCCATCCATCCATTCACCTACCCACCTCTCCGCCTACTTGTCATCCATCCATCCATCCATTTCACCTACCCACCTCTCCACCTACTCGTCATCCATCCATCCATTCACCTACCCACCTCTCCACCTGCTCATCATCCATCCATCCATCCATTCACCTACCCACCTCTCCACCTACTCGTCATCCATCCATCCACCTGCCCACCTCTCCACCTACTTGTCATCCATCCATCCATCCATCCACCTACCCACCTCTCCACCTACTTGTCATCCATCCATCCATTTACCTACCCACCTCTCCACCTACTTGTCATCCATCTATCCATCCATTCACCTACCCACCTCTCCACCTACTCGTCATCCATCCATCCATCCACCTACCCACCTCGCCACCTACTCGTCATCTATCCATCCATCCATTCACCTACCCACCTCTCCGCCTACTTGTCATCCATCCATCCATCCATTCACCTACCCACCTCTCCACCTACTCATCATCCATCCATCCATCCATTCATTCACTTACCCACCTCTCCATCTACTCATCATCCATCCATTCACCCACTCACCTACCAACCCACCCATCCACCACTCATCCGTCATCCATTTATCCATTCACCCATCCACCCATTCATTATCCATCCATCACTACTTAATCATCCATCCACCCATCATCCTTCCATCACTCATCAGTCATCCATTCTTCTACTTACTCACCTACCCACCCCTTGTCGGTCTACCCATCGACCTACACAGCCACCCACCCATCATTCACCTGTCCCACAAATATATACTGGCTGCCAGGCACTGTCCAGTCATTAAGAATACATCATTGAATAAAACAAAATTCTTATTTTTATTCTTAAGGAACTATAAGTGCATATGTTAATATATAACAGGCGGCGATAAGTGTTATGAAGAAAACCGTTACTGTTAGGTGCCGTCAAGTTGATTCAGACTCATAGTAACCCTGTGTACAACAGAACAGAACACTGCCCAGTCCTGTGCCATCCTCACAATCGTTGTTGTGCTTGAGTCCATTGTTGTAGCCACTGTGTCAGTCCATCTTGTTGAGGGTCTTCGTCTTTTTCGCTGACCCTCTGCTTTACCAAGCATGATGTCCTTCTCCAGGGACTGATCTCTCCTGATAACATGTCCAGAGTATGTGAGACATAGTCTTGCCATCCTTGCTTCTAAAAAGCATTCTGATTGTGCTTCTTCCAAGACAGATTTGTTCGTTCTTTTGGCAGTCCGTGGCGTGTTCAATATTCTTCACCAACACCACAATTCAAAGGTGTCAGTTCTTCTGTCTTCCTTGTTCATTGTCCAGCTTTCACATGCATATGAGGTGATTGAAAACACCATGGCTTGGGTCAGGCACACCTTAGTCTTCAAGGTGACATCTTTGTTTTTCAACACTTTAAAGCGGTCTTTTGCAGCAGATTTGCCCAATGCAGTGTGTCTTTTGATTTCTCAACTGCTAATTCCATGAGTGTTGATTGTAGATCCAAGTAAAATGAAATCCTTGACAACTTTAATCTTTTGTCCGTGTATCATGATGTTGCTTATTGGTCCAGTTGTGAGGATTTCTGTTTTCTTTATGTTGAGGTGTCATCCACACTGAAGGCTGTGGGCTTTGATCTTCATCAGTACGTGCTTCAAGTCCTCTTCACTTTCAGCAAGAAAGGTTGAGTCATCTGCATATGGCAGGTTGTTAATGAGTCTTCTCCAATTCTGATGTCCCGTTCTTCATATAGTCCAGCTTCTCGGATTATTTGCTCAACATACAGATTGAATAGGTCTGGTGAAACGATACAACCCTGACACATACCTTTCCTGACTTTAAACCATGCGGTATTCTCTTGTTCTGTTCGAATGACTGCCTTTTGATCTACGTACAGGTTCCTCGTGAGCACAATTAAGTGTTCTGGAATTCCATTCTTCACAGTGTTATCCATAATTTGTGATGATCCACGCAGTCGAATGCCTTTGCATAGTCAATAAAACCCAGGTAAACATCTTTCTGGTATTCTCTGCTTTCAGCCAGGATCCATCTGACATCAGCAATGATATCCCTGGCTCCATGTCCTCTTCTGAATCTGGCTTGAATTTCTGGCAGTTCCCTGTCGATGTACTGCTGCAGCCTCTTTTGAATGATCTTCAGCAAAATTTTGCTTGCGTGTGATATTAATGATATTGTTTGATAATTTCCACATTCTTTTGGATCGCTTTTCTTGTGGATAGGTGTAGATATAGCTCTCTTCCAGTCGGTTGGCCAGATAGCTGTCTTCCAAATTTCTTGGCATAGACGAGTGAGCACTTCCAGAACTGCATCTGTTCGTTGCAACATCTCAGTTGGTATTCTGTCAATTCCTGGAGCCTGGTTATTCACCAGTGCCTTCAGTGCAGCTTGGATGAAGAAAACCAGAGCAGAGTACAGGGATGGAAAGTGACAGAAGGGGTGCTGTAACACCTCGGCGCAGCCCCGAGCAAAGGGTGAGAGCAAGCCCTCGGCTGTTTAGGTTGGGGGCATAGTGCAGAGGGCCCGGGCAGGAGCACCTGGCACATTCCAGGACTAGCGAGGTGGTGAGGGCAGAGGTCGGGGCCAGGTTTGAGAGGGTCTTAGGGGTGTGGTGAGGAGCCTAGCTTCAGCTTGTCCTAGAGGGGAGGCCATCGAAGCCTTCTGAGAGGAAGACTGAGGTGATGTGACACGTGCTCTAAAGGGTCACACTCGCCACCACGTGGAGGGCAGGGGGGAGGGGAGGGTGAGAGCAGGGGTGAGGGGAGGGTGAGGGCAGGGTGAGAGCAGGGGTGAGGGGAGGGTGAGAGCAGGGTGAGAGTGGGGGTGAGGGGAGGGTGAGGGCAGGGTGAGAGCAAGGGTGAGGGGAGGGTGAG